TCTTTCCTTAAACTTGAAAGTAAATTCAAATCCTGTCATAATCAATATGCAAAATAAATTGGATATTTGCTTATGACTTTAATGGATGAAGCTCTGCTATGGCTGCTGCTGAGTCTTGAGTAATAAAGAATTAAAAATAGTCACCTCTCATTTTCTGTACGTTAGCCATGCCTCAGAGAATACTTGTGAAACTCCTATGAAAATCATATTTAGAATTATTTTCAGACACAAATCTGAAGATCAGAATTCGAGTTTATCAGTAGAATGATATAAACTGTTTTCCAAGATCTTTGAGCAGTTGTCTGCCTCCTGTCACCTATATGCATTTTTAGACATCATGTAAAACTTTTACAAAAGTTAAGAAAGCAAGCTCATTATCAGTAGGCTTCAATTCGCTATAAACAAATCCTCACCTCCATTGGAATATTTAGATATCCACAATGTAAAAAAAGGTTGAGTTGCCTATAATAGCAATAACCTTTACTACCCTTTGAGTACCAAAACCAATTCCATGAATTTTGTTAACAGTATTCTGAAACTATTTGTGTGGTTTTGCCTGGTTTTTCTCCAGATTGATTAGTAGGTCTGTAAGTATGGTGTGGGGTTTTGGATATTTTTTCATAAGCTCAGGTGAAATTTTTTTTCCAGATGTCTATATGGTGTTAAAAATAAGCTCTGAAACTCAGGATTTGGAAGGGTGTGTGGACACATATACTGTATAAATACCCTGCAGGTTCTAAAATGTTCACGGCATTTTCACAGCTTAATAATATTCTTCAGTTGTATTCTGTCTAATTTCATTTTAGATAACTATTTTTGCTCGTCCAAACAATACTTTCCACTTACCTGCAGACCCATCTGTCCCATTCATGATGGTTGGTCCAGGAACAGGAATTTCACCATTTATTGGTTTCCTACAACATAGGTATGTTTCAAATTGTTACCTGGAAAGCAGCCTTTTTATGTTGAGGAAAATACAGCCTCAGGTTTTGAGTACAAATATAGTGAAACGTGGTGTGCTGATTAGAAAGTCCTATTAATTTTAAACAAGCTGTGCTTGTTTATGTTTATCAAATGAGCAACACTTCCACTTTCGTCTGACTGTATTTAATATCCATAGTGGATATGTAAGGAATTGGGTGAATTGCAGAAATAGTGATAAGAAATTAAATCTTTTATCTATGTGTTGCTAGTGGAGGCCCTGTAAGTACTTGGTAGTTCTTAGAAACAGTGTTGATTGGCTTAACTTTTTGATATTCAAAATCCATTTCCTTCAGAAATGGCATCTATATTAAAAACCTTGGCATGCTGAATGTTAAGTTTTCTCCCACATTCCCCTGTTCCTGTGTGTTTACACGTTCTGATGTTTTAAGATTGGAAGCTTGGCACCTGAGCCCTCAACTAGGCAGTAATCTTGGGTTTTGTGGGTTTGTATTTGAGGGATGATAGATCCTTTTTTTTTTTTTTTTTTGCTCTCCAATTTCAGCAGCATAATTTTGCAAGATAAAGAGATTCTTGTTCAAAAAGTGGCAGGCACCTCATCACCAAGAATGTGTGAAAACATGATTTTTTTTTTTTGAGGAATTGAAGAATGGGAAGAGTAAAATATTTGGGTGGGAATGGTTGCAAGTTTTGTAGGTAACCAGCACATCTTATATAATTCCTACGTGGCTTACTCCTTCCAGCAAGAGAATGGAGTTTCTTGCATCCCGTACCAATTATTTTAAACCCATTTTATTTGAGAGAAAAGTGAAATTTTGACATGATGTTTCTGACTCCATGCTTCTGCTTTAACCAAATCACTATGTACAATCCTTACTCCTTAATTTTAACCCCCAAAATATGCCTTTATGTCTCAGAATTATTTTGTATTTTATTTTGAAGGATTCATAGCATTTCATAAGCATTTGATCAATGATAAATAAAATTTCTATCTCAAAATGTAACTAGAAAGATGCAACTAAAACCCCTATAAAATAATACCTTCACTATTATTTCAAAAAAATACAATAACTCTTCTGATGATGTAGTAGTAAATAGATTGTTATTCATAAAGTCTTGCAGGTTTCTACAGCTAAATGGAAAATGTGCTAAAAATGCTTTGTGCTGAGTTTTCCTGGGTGTTTTTTTACAGGGCTTCCAATGAGGGGTAAAGGGTAGTGATCTCCTTGTTCAGCAGTCAGGATTGTTTTGTGAGATGCCTGGAAGTGTCAGTCTTGACTATTCCAATATGAAACTGTGTCAAAAAAAACCCTCTCTGAAGTTGATTGATTTTGATCTGGGCCAAAAGTGAGTACCCGAGAAAATCAGAGGAGGGTTTGACTGTCATTTACCTTATGCGGTTTCACCTTTCTGCCAATATAGAGGTTTGTGAAAGCACTACTTTAAATGAGAGCTAGGTTATGGTTATAAACATTTTTGATTCTGCACTTCCTAAAACAGGATTGGATTTACCTACTATCAATACTTTTTTTTTTTTTTTTTTGGTCTGTGTAGGCAAAAGCTCAGAGAAGAACATACAGACTGGGAATTTGGAGAGACATGGCTGTTTTTTGGTTGTCGGCATCAAGATCGAGACTATTTGTTCAAGCAAGTTTGCAATTTAACATTGATTTTGTATTAATGAGAAAATGCTTATCTCTGAATCATTACTAAAAGTTTTTATTGTCTTTCAGAGATGAGCTCAGATGTTTTCTTGAAAATGGCACATTAACTCATCTTAAGGTTTGTTTCTCAAGAGACTCTTCAACTGCAGAAGTAGCCCAGCCTAAATATGTGCAAGATGTCATTAGGCTTTATGCTAAGGAAGTTGCCAGTTTTGAAACAGAGAGGTTACTTCTATGTATGTGGGTAAGTAGAGTGGAGAAGGACTGTCTCAGAAAGAACAGAGTTAGCAGCAGTTTGAGGCTTTAGAAAGACTTAGAGCTATCTGACAGAAAGGACCAATATGATGTTGAAAAATAGCGTTGCTGGAATGCTTGAATTTCAACACTATGTCCATTTTTTTCCAATATATTCTTGAAAGTATAGCTTGTAACCACAGTTTCACTGGTTGCTTTAGTCACTTATTATTTCTTTGTCTTTTTTGGTATTCAGTTAAGCTATGGGAGGTTTCAAGCTAATAGATCTAATAGATAGAAAAAGATACTTGAATGCACTTGATGATAAACTGAACAGATGTGAGACAGCATCAGTCTTCTGCGTGTTCCAGGCTTGGATGGGCCAGAATGCTAAAGCTCCATGATAGTAATGTATTTTAAAGTGGGAAGTTGTATTGGTGGATGCTAACTTACCTGGAGGTTTGAGATTTTCAGGAATTTTGTTGATAAATCGAAAAAATGTTTGAATATAGAGGCCAATGTCAATACTTTCTCCTGCAGGAGTAAATGTTAGCTTTTTGTATTAAATCTGGAATTATTAATAAGTGAGGGTTTGGGTTTTTTGTTTTATATTGGAACTATATGGTGATATAATAATAAATAATACTTCAGCAGGTCCAGTTCTCCCTAAAAGAAAACAATTATTCAATGACAGCTCAACCAGAGTTCCAAGGTTTTTTTCTTATAAATGACAGCATGCTGAAAATTTGTAATGTTTGATTGAGAGAAACCCTTGTTACTGTCAATGCTCAGCTACATGAAAGCTCAGTGAGAATCTGGCCATGCAATATGCAAGCTGTAATTGTGTTTGGAGTTTTTTTTTAATGCCTCTTTTCCAATAGTATCCTGCTTCTGAAGCTGTTGATAAAAGGAAAGATAGACTATTATGCATTTACTCATTTACTCCTCTCTTTTTTCTTTTTTTTTCTTTTTTTTTTTTGGCAGAGATGAGAAGCACATGGCTGATGGTGTAAGTGATGCTGTAGTGGATATTTTAAGCATGGAAATGGAATCTGACAAATTGGAAGCAATGAAAATCCTGGCCATGCTTCGGGAAGCAAAACGATATTTACAGGATGTTTGGAGCTAAACATTTAGCTTTTCCTATGCCTTCATAACACAAAAGATTTTGTTTTGCATTTATGCTTTTGACTAGAAGTTATTGTCAAAAGTGCTGTCTGTAGTCACACAAATCTTAACTTTCTCTGTTGACCTTTCAAACAGAAATATGAAACCTTTTAAATGACAACAAACCAGGCTGCCTTTTGAAGCATATGTTTTTTTAATGATGTTACGTAATGGACTGTTTTGATTCTTTCATTTTAAGATTGTGTTCACATAGAAAGAAAAACCTTCTGCACTTGTACAAGTATAATTATATATTTACATTACATCATGTATTTTTTCCTATGATGTATACATAGAGAAGCTACAGAGTAAACATGATATTAAATACTAATCTATGCGTCATCAGATACATTACTGACTTGCCAAGATTTATCTGAATATATATTAGGTTTACATGGCCAGGTTTTGTTAGTGGGGGGGCTACAGGGGTGGCTTCTGTGAGAAGCTCCCCCCATGTCCGATAGAGCCAATGCCAGCTGGCTACAAGACAAACCATTTTCTCACAGAAGCCACCTCTGTAGCCCCCCTGCTCCCAAAACCTTGCCACACACACCCAATATCCTTGCCTTTATTTTACACAAAGGGAAACCCAGGCAAGGTAAAGCTACTGAATTGCCCAAGATAAAGAAGGCAATGAACAAAGACTTGGGCTGCTGTTTCTCCAGGTGCCATGCTGCTGATTAGCTCATAGATCTGTCTTTCTCATGCATTTCCTCAGTAATTGCACTGTCCGATATCACAGAAAATCTAGTGACTTTCCAAAAATGCAGAGGTGTTTTTTTAACAGTAAGTTTAGGTAACTTTTATACAGTGGGATGTAAAATCTAAGCCTCAGACTTGGTGGGAAAAGGTAGGTCCCACTGCGCTCTACATAAATGCTGTCCAGGGACCGGTATGTTGGAGGTGCCAGCAGCGGGTGTGTGTGAGTACATGTGTCAGTGTGAGGTTAGTGGTGAGTGTCAAGCCAGACTAGCCAACAAGTAGGGTCAGTGTCTTGTGAGACAACGGGAGGAGCTGGCTACTGGAGGGACCAGAAAGTTCAGGCCAACTGCTGGAGCGACCATGGGGCCTGGGGGTCACCTGGGGCCTGATCGCGTGTGTGTGTGTCTCTGTGCGTGAGGCAATGGGGAGAGCAGGGATGAGGGCCAGCTACTGGGTGGACAGTGTGTCTAAGCCCAGCTGCTGGTGGGATGACATCATATGTGTTTGTCAGTGTTGGTGGGACACATGTTGCATGTATGTATATATGTATTTTCCATTAATGACCTTTAGCCTGGTCAGCTAGAGAGGGGAGCCACTGGGGCCTGGGCCCAGGGTCCGTCCCCATTCAGATGAGGGCCTGACACAGACTGGGTTGACGGTTGGACTTGGTGATCCTTGAGGTCTTTTCCAACCTTAATGATTCTATGATTCTATGTGATTCTATGTGGGGGGTGTGTGTGTATAACAGGGAACATTCTTACCCTCAAATTTCATCCCTGAAAGAAAGAACTTTTAAATGTATTTTTAAATAAACCCCAAGCCTATATTTGCCAAAACTTAGTGTTTTGGTTTTTTTGTTGTTGTTGGTTTTTTTTTTAGTGTTTCACCACCTGGTATTTAGTGCATCCAGTCTAACTGAAGGTGAGGCCACATGTGGGAACATGTATGTTTTTCTACACATGAGGCCACACACAAATTTTGTGGCCCCCTGCCCCACTTTCACAAATGACTGCACATGTGTATAGGGCTAAGCAGAAATTCAGTGAAGTCATGAGCCATTTTAGCAATTTGGGATACTGATGGTCTTGCACAAGCAATTATTAGTGTCTCAGTTTCACCAGATGTCTCTTGTATAGAAAAGGGCCTTTTCTTCAGGTTTTTTCCTGCTCTTCAAATGGAAACTTTATTTCTCCATCCATTTCACTCCAGCTATGCTTTATCTGAGTTGGGAAGGTTAAAGCTGAATCCAGCAGTCCAATTTCAGACAAGACAGTGATTATATAATAAAATAACAGAATATTTTCAGTATTATTTTCTATTCTGTTCTGGTTTTTGTGGTGTTGTGGAGGAATAAAAACGGGAGAATCCCTGCTTGCCTGGTGGTGATTATAGGAAGAACATTACATTGCTAAAAGTTATGGTCTACAAGCCCTGGTCACTTGTGAATTGAGAGATGAATCTACATTGGCAGAATGGTACAAGCAACTGATTTGGATCTGAAAACTGAGCTAGTTGATGCAATGGTTTAATATAAGAGCTACAGAATATTTTAACGAATTTTGAGAGTCTGTTTTCCAGTTGAAGAAAATATGTAAATATAAAAAGCTTCTCAGTACTATTAGAGTTGCCTGTCATAAAGAAATCAAAATACTTTGAAAGCGATGGCAAAAGCCGTATGTCAATTTCTTTAGTCTCAAAACCCTATTCAAATATGTTTCATATTGAAAAAATTGGAGTTTTATACAAATGCAAATTAGCCTTGAAAAGTTGATTCAGCACCACCACAAATTACATTCTCTTTCATTAGCATTTGAATAAATGCTTCACTTCTGGTGGAAAAGGTTTGTAACACTGACAAAGCACTCAAATAAAAGGTTCTACAGTTGCTTTGAAAACAGCATTTTTGTAAGCCTCCATCAGCCAGGGATATTAATTTCTTATCTGTTCTTTCTATTGCTTAGATGATCAATTGGATTTCCTTAACTTTCTTTTTTTTTTTTTTTTAAGATACATTTTATTGTAACTTGCTAGAAGATCAGCAAGATGCTGTTTCTAGTACTTTCTCCTCAATGGTGACTAAAGAAGTGAACAGTGAGGTGGACTGAAAACTGACTGACCTGCTGGTCTCTAGTGGTTGTGATTAGCTCAGCTGGATGCCAGTTGCCAGTGGTGTCTGGGGGACAATACTGGGTCCAACCTTGTTTAACATCTTCAGTAATGGCCTGGATGATGGGGCAGAGTGCACGCTCAGCAGGTTGGCAGATGATGCAGAACAGGGGGTGCAGTAGCAGTTGATAGATGAGAGTGCTGCATTTTAGAGGGACCCTGACAGTCTGGAGCACAGAGCCGAGAAGAATCTCACTTAAAAGTGACCTTTGCAAGTTCTTGACTTCAGCTTAACTGCTGGCACCTTTCTTATATGGAGTGTAGTTTCCCCTAGTTAGAAAGCTTCTGACTTGAGCTTCTGACAATGAAGAGATACTACCCAAGGAAACCTGCAAATGAAGAAGGAGTACTGTAGAGGTTCCTCAAAGCTTGCACATTAGGGAGCTTGAGGTGTTCTTTGGTACCTCTGATATCTACAGCATTGTGCAGTGGTCAATGGTCTACATTTTGTTTTCTTGACAATGTTTTCTGAAATGTTCAATGTTACACATATTTGAAAGGGGCAGGTTGGAGGAGGGGATTGCATGGACCACTGCTGTAGAGTCATTTCCCTTTCCCTGATGTTTACTTTAGAAATGATCCTATATGTTTTCTAGTGAAACTTTATGTTGAAGTTCAACAGTGTTTTTCCATTGTAAGTTTTGCGGCAGCATCTTAAGCAGTGGTATGTGACTACATTTGTTTTGTGTTCCCGCTTTTTTTTGGGCCAAAGCCAGATAAATCTCTTAAAAGAAAACACTCCAGGCATGGTATGAACTTATGCAATTCAGTACATCTGGGCAAATTCATCCTCAACAACTAAATTAAAAATAAACTCGTTTACTTACTGTGAGTTAAGCTGAAAAAAAGTGGTGCATACAGGCTTCAGTAAGACAGAGTATACATGCTAGGTGGCCTAATAAGCCAAATTTTGTTATGTATTTTTACTGTTGGACTTGTGCAAAGAATTATTACATTGCTATTTTTTGAGTTGTGTGTTGAGGCTCTGCAGCACTGGAGGACCATCATCTTTGATCTGGACAGTGATCCAGGTAGTTGTGAGTTTCAGATGATCACTTATAATTAAATTTCTAATGCATCTGAAAAAGACAGTTAATACTTACTTGTAATGTTGGTGTGCCAGGTAGATGACTCTGAAAGTTTCAAGTAGAAAGTACATGTTAATATATGTCTAAGCCTACCAGGGCTAACCCCCAACGCTCTCCTTTGAAATAAGGGACTCACAGATTTTGAATGCATGAGCTTCTGTCAATGAGGAACTCTGTAAATTCTTGTATCTCTGATCTGGTTATGGCTGAATAGAAAAGCGAACTGTTCCACAGGTTATCTGTTATCACTTTGTATGTGCAGCATGCCGATCCATCTTTTATCACATATGATAACATAGCTGTTAAATTACTGTTAGGGCTTCGGGTTCATTTTGACAGAGATGTCCATGAAACTCTTACTCCCCTTACTGATGAGTTATGGTTACTTGGGGCAAGACAGTTGCTTTCAATTATTTTCTCATTAAAATACGTAAAATCTAAAAGTATACAATTGTTAAATAACTAGTTTTCAGATTCTGTGTAGCTCTGAGTATAAATGTGAACCACTGTAAATCAAGGTGTTTCAAATGTCTTGTAGTATTATGCACATTTTAATTTATCAATTTATCTCATGTCGTGCAAACCTCCATCGTGAGATTGCACAAGCCACCTCCTTGCCTTTTAATTCTTGTATAATAACCTTAGAGTCAACTCCCACTGTTAATTGTATGGAAAAGCTGGACTAAAAAGCTCTTGTTCTGTAACCATGTGGAGTCTTTGAAAAGGTTTATCTAATTTGTCTTTCTATTTTCTTATTTTCTTTTTTGATAATTTGTCCTTGCACTGTCACATAATACACTTCTGTCATCTGCTTATCTTCTTTTGCAGATGCATGTATTCCTCTGCTAACCTCTCCTCTCTCCTCTGCTCATACTTCTTGATGCATTTCTCATGTTTGAAGGTATCCTGTTGGTAGTCTGAATATTTGCATTTGAACATATCTACTTCAAAAGGTGATTCTGCCCTCCTGAAGGTATCTCATGTTTTCCATGTGTTTTTGTGTTTC